TTCTACATCTGCAGAACGCGAAGTGTACTCGTTGTTTGGAAGAATTATCGTGTAAATACATTCCTTGAGCCACGAAATTGGTCATTATCTTGCAAACTCGGTGCACCAAAAATGGAAGCAATCCTGTATTCGTCAGTTTGATAAGAGTGGTTGGCGTCATATAGCGAAGGACAACCATTTGTTGTGTCTTTAAGGAATCTTCAGAAACTACAGGATGCATATCAAGCTGAGATGGAGGCATGTACTCAAACACTCTGAACCTAGCTACCGAAGTTGCAATCAGTCGAGACAAATGCTCAAAACCTAAAGCATGCTCTGAAATTTCGTGCCTATGGCCAGCAGCTAACAGTTAGAAGAAATTACATGCATAGCCATTACGGGTTTAGTTCCAGAAGCAGCATGTATCATAGGCAAATATTTGCCATCAGTATATCAGATTTGTAATACAAATTGCACAGTGCAAATCAAGCATGGAGCACCTCTGATTACAAAACAACATCAGCTTAAAAATGGCATTGACCAAAACAAGAGTAGAACTAACAGATTATTTTAGAAATTTACATTCACCAACACATGTCAGTCACATCTCACTGGGCGCTAATTGGCAAGGGCCAAGGGGTGATCATCTAATAGGGCTAGCTATGTGGACGTAAACGTAGTCATCCAAATTTCGTACTCACGGGCTGCCACCGACGAGATGTGGTGGCCACCTAATTGGTCTTCATCGAAGGCGGCAGATGAGACGGCCAATCGGCCACACACATGAATCTCCGTCTAGGGCTGTCGTCGCTGGGATCTATGAGCCGCCTCTGGCGTGTCTCCATCAACGCACGCACCGCATGTCGTCAACAGGATGTGGTAGCCAGATATCTAGGTCCTATTTGCAACCAGAGTTGCCGAGTTGGACTAGCAGGAAATTGATTCAGGAGCCGGAGGTGGGAGACAGGCCTAGGGGATGAGGGGTCTTTTTGCAAATCGCATAGGTGAGATGGGTTGGAGGCGGGTGTCTTTTTGCAAGAATTGAGCCAACAAACTACATGCTCACAATTTGATTCAGATGGATGGTACCGAAGGGATGCAGGGGTGCACGAACGTAGGCAGATTCATAGGATACAACGACCATTATCAACTTGTATCTTTTGGCATCAATATTATGAATATTTGTATCACTACGATCAGGATTCAAGAAACCATTTACATTGGATGTATGACCATAGAAGGTTTTACTCATATAAATAGAACAACAATTATTCTTTGACTTAAATGAATAACCATATCGCAATAAACATTATCCAATCATATTCATGCTCAACGCAAACACCAAATAACATTTATTTAGGTCCAACACTAATCCCGAAGGTAGAGGGAGTGTGCAATGGTGATCTTATCAACCTTGGAATCACTTCCAACCGACATCGTCACCTCGCCCTTAACTAGTCTCTGTTCATTTTGCAACTCCTGTTTTGAGTTACTAATCTTAGCAACTGAACCGGTATCAAATACCTTGGGTTACTATGAACACTAGTAAAGTACACATCAATAACATGTATATCAAATATACCTTTGTTCACGTTGCCATCCTTCTTATGCGCCAAGTATTTGGGGTAGTTCCGCTTTCAATGATCATTCCCTTTGCAGTAGAAGCACTCAGTTTTAGGCTTAGGTCTAGCTTTGGGCTTCTTCACGGGAGTGGCAACTTGCTTGTCATTCTTCTTGAAAGTCCCTTTCTTTCCCTTGCCTTTCTTTTTCTTGAAACTGGTGGTCTTGTTAACCATCAACAATTGATGCTATTTCTTGATTTCTACCTTCGCCGATTTCAGCATCACGAAGAGCTTAGGAATCATTTCCGTCATCCCTTGCATATTATAGTTCATCACGAAGTTCTAGTAACTTGGTGATAGTGACTAGAAAACTCTATCAATCACTATCTTATCTGGAATATTAACTCCCACTTGACTCAAGCGATTGTAGTACTCAAACATTGCGAGCACATGCTCACTGTCAGAGCTATTCTCCTCCATATTGTAGGCAAAGTACTTGTCAGAGGTCTCATACCTCTCGACACGGCATGAGTATGAAATACCAATTTCAGCTCTTGGAACATCTCATATGCTCCATGGCGTTCAAAACATTTTTGAAGTCCCGGTTCTAAGTTGTAAAGCATGGTCCATTAAACTATCAAGTAGTCATCATACCGAGCTTGTCAAACGTTCATAACATCTGCATCTGCTCCTGCAATAGGTCTGTCACCTAGCGATGCATCAAAGACATAATTCTTCTGTGCAGTAATGAGGATAATCCTCAGATCACGGACCCAATCCGCATTATTGCTACTATCATCTTTCAACTTAGTTTTCTCTAGGAACATATCAAAGATATATAGGAGCTACAACACGAGCTATTGATCTACAATATACATATGCAAAAACTATCAGGACTAAGTTCATGATAAATTAAGTTCAATTAATCATATTACTTAAGAACTCCCACTTAGATAGACATCCCTCAAGTCATATAAATGATCACGTGGTCCATATCAACTAAACCATATCTGATCATCATGTGAGATCGAGTAGTTTTCAATGGTGAACATCTCTATGTTGATCATATCTACTATATGATTCACGTTCGACCTTTCGGTCTCTAGTGTTCTGAGGCCATGTTTGTACATGCTAGGCACATCAAGTTTAACCTGGGTATTCCGCATGTGCAAAAACTGTCTTGCACCCATTGTATGTGAACGTAGAGCTTATCATACCCGAGCATCATGTGGTGTCTCGGCACAACGAACTGTCGCAACGATGCATACTCGAGGAGAACACTTATACCTTGAAATTTTAGTAAAGGATCATCTTATAATATTACCGTCGTACTAAGCAAAATAAGATGCATAAAAGATAAACATCACATGCAATCAAAATATGTGGCATGATATGGCCATCATCTTGTGCCTTTGATATCCATCTCCAAAGCACCGTCATGATCTCCATCGTCACCGACTTGACACTTTGATCTCCATCATATAGTGATAAAGTAAAGCAATTACATGGCGTTTGCATTTCATACAATAAAGCGACAACCATAAGGCTCCTGCCAGTTGCCGATAACTTTTACAAAATATGATCATCTCATACAATAACGTATATCACATCATGTCTTGACCATATCACATCACAATATGCCCTGCAAAAAACAAGTTATACCTCCTCTACTTTGTTGTTGCAAGTTTTACGTGGCTGCTAGGGCTTCTAGTAAGAACCGTTCTTAACTACGCATCAAAACCACAACGATGATTTATCAAGTTTGTTGTTTTAACCTTCAATAAGGACCGGCCATAGTCAAATTCGATTCAACTAAAGTTGGAGAAACAGACACCAGCCAGCCACCTTTATGCAAAACTAGTTGCATGTTTGACGATGAAACCGGTCTCATGAACGTGGTTATGTAAGGTTGGTCCGGGCCGCTTCATCCAACAATACCACTGAATCAAAATAAGACATTGGTGGTAACCAGTATGACGATCACCGCCCACAACTCTTTGTGTTCTACTCGTGCATATCATCTACGCATAGACCTGGCTCGAATACCACTGTTGAGAAACGTAGCATGCAATTTCCAAAAAATTCCTACGCTCACGCAAGATCTATCTAGGAGATGCATAGCAACAAGAGGGGGAGAATGTGTCCACGTACCCTCATAGACCAAAAGCGAAAGCATTTGACAACACGGTTGATGTAGTCGAACGTCTTCTCGTTTTGACCGATCAAGCACCAAACGTACGGCACCTCCGAGTTCTGCACATGTTCAGCTCGATGACGTCCCTCAAACTCTTGATACAACAAAGTGTCGAGGGAGAGTTCAGTTAGCATGATGACGTGATGACGGTGATGGTGAAAAGTGATCCGCGTAGGGCTTCGCCTAAGCACTATGTGAATATGACCGGATGTGTAAACTATGGAGGGGGCGCCGCACACGGCTAACAATGGTTCGTGTGTGTTCTAGCGGTGCCCCCCTCATATATATAGGTTGGAGGGGAGGAGAGACAGCCAATGGGGCGCCTCAAGTAGGAGGAATCCTACTTGGGGTCCTCCCAATTAGGCCTCCCCTTTCCTATTCCTATTCGGAGTAGGAAGGGAAGAGGGGGAAGTAGGAAGGGAAGAGGGGGAAGGGGGAATCCTATTCCCTTTTTTCTTTCCTTCTCCAATTTGGCCAGCCCGTATGGGAGGTGGGCGCACCAGCTCCTTTGTGGCTGGTGTGTTTTCCCTCTTGGCCCATAAGGCCCATATCTTTTGCCAGGGTGCTCGGAACCCCTTCCGGTGACCCGATAAGTACACGGTACATCCCGAAACACTTCCAGTGTACGAATACCATGATCCTATATATCAATCTTTACCTCTCAACCATTTTGAGACTCCTCGTCATGTCCGTGATCTCATTCGGGACTCCGATCAACATTCAGTCACCAAATCACATAACTCATATAATACAAAATCATCATCGAACGTTAAGTGTGCGGACCCTATGGGTTAGAGAATTATATAGACATGACCGAGACACCTCTCCGGTCAATAACCAATAGCGGAACCTGGATGCTCATATTGGCTCCCACATATTCTACGAATATCTTTATCGATCAAACCGTCACGACAACATACGTTATTTCCTTTATCATCGGTACGTTACTTGCCCGAGATTAGATCGTCGGTATCTTCATACTGTCACACCAACAATGCGACAATATCTCCCACGTATCGAGGTGCGACTTGGAGGCATAGCCGCATGGTAGGCTTGTCGCAAGAGGGGTAATCTTCACACATCCCATGTACTGAATAAGAAAGCGATAAAGAGTTGGCTTACAATCGCCACTTCACACAATACATAAATAATTCATACATCATCCAAATACACTCCAAATACTCAAAGACCGACTACGTTCAAATCCGAATAAAAGGAAGATAAACCCCAAAAGCTAGATCCCCGATCGTCCCAACTGGGCTCCACTACTGATCATTCGAAAAAGAAACATAGTAACGGCCCGAATCCTCGTCGAACTCCCACTTGAGTTTGGTAGCATCACTTGCACTGGTATCCTCAACACCTGCAACTGTTTGGAAGTATCCGTGAGTCACGAGGACTCAGCAATCTCACACCCGCGAGATCAAGACTATTTAAGCTTATGGGTAGGAAAGGATAGTGAGGTGGAGCTGCAGCAAGTACTAAGCATATATGGTGGCTAACATACGCAAATGAGAGCGAGAAGAGAAGCAACGCAACGGTCAAGAAGCTAGAAGTGATCAAGAAGTGATCCTGAAGCTACTTACGTTCATGCATAACACAAGGCCGTGTTCACTTTCCGGACTCCGCCGAAATGAGACCATCACGGCTACACATGCGGTTCATTTTAATTAAGTAAAGTGTCAAGTTCTCTACAACCGGATATTAACAAATTCTCATCTACCACATAACCGCGGGCACGGCTCTCAAAAGTTTATACCCTGCAGGGGTGTCCCAACTTAGACCATCACAAGCTCTCATAGTCAACGAAGGATATTCCTTCTCCCGGGAAGACCCGGTCAGTCTCGGAATCCTAGTTACAAGACATCTCGACAATGGTAAAACAAGACCAGCAAAGCCGCCCGATGTGCTGACAAATCCCGATAGGAGTCGCACGTATCTCGTTCTCAGGGCACACCGAATAGGTCAAGCTACGAGTAAAACCAGCCCTCAAGTTGCCCTGAGGTGGCCCTGCAGGCTGCCTGTTTCGGACCAACACTCAAAGGAGCACTGGCCCAGGGGGAAGGGTTTAAAATAAAGATGAGCCTTGAGTCTGCAGAATCCAAGGGAAAGGTATATGGTGGTAGGTAGGCAAATGGTAAAACCAAGGTTGGGCCTTGCTGTAGGAGTTTTATTCAAGGCGAACTGTCAAGGGGTTCCTATAACACTCAACCACGTAATGAACGCAAAATCAAGGAACATAACACCGGTATGACGAAAACTAGGGCGGTAAGAGTGAAACAAAACACAGGGCATAAGGCCGAGCCTTCCACCCTTTACCAAGTATATAGATGCATTAAAGTAAATAAGAGATAATAATGATATCCCAACAATATCCATGTTCCAACATGGAACAAACTTCAGCTTCACCTGCAATTAGCAACGCTATAAGAGAAGCTAAGCAAAAGCGGTAACATAGCCAAACAACGGTTTGCTACGAAGGTGGGTTAGAGGCTTGACATGGCAATATGGGAGACATGATATAGCAAGTGATAGGTAGCGCGACATAGCGATAGAGCGAACAACTAGCAAAGCAAAGATATAAGTGATTTCGAGGGTATGGTCATCTTGCATACAAAGTTCTCAGAGTTGTCGAAAGCTTGATCCTCGTTAGCGTACTCAACAGGTTCCTCGGTCACGTACTCATCTCCCGGCTCTACCCAAGGCAAGAACACAAGCAATGAAACAACAATCAATCACGATGCAATGCACAATTAACATAATGCAATACATGGCATGATATGCAAGATATGATATGCAATGCATATGTGTGCTCCGGAAGGGAAAGAATGATCAAGGCATCAACTTGGCAAACCAAGTATGCCGCTGGAAAGATGAGATGATTTCGGTTGAAATCGATATAAAGATCACCGAAAATGGATGCACGGTTTGCAAATGGCAAGCAAAACAAGGTTGATACTATTCTGCGATTAACAGCATGATGCCACTTAGAATGCAACAAAAACCAAGCTACTGCACTCCAACATAGCAACAAAGCATATGGCAGTGATGTACAAGAGATGCTTGAGAAAACATGAACACCGAGCTACGACTAAATCACACTAGAACTGCTTCAAACAAGCATGGCAAAAATGCAAAAAATATTAGCATCACAGACTTAGTGAAAATACTAACATGTCAAAAACAACATCAGGAAGCATTGTTTAGAGCAAGCAAACAACATGCTACAGGAACATATCATAACAAACAAAGGCATGACACGATACTACTAAATGAATAGAACAAAAGTCCCTTACTAAACATGAGCCAAAAAGGCACAGAAGATATGATGGCACCCATGTAAACATAGCAAATTTATTAACAGTTTCAGACTTAGTAGAAAAACAGAGCATGGCATAAACAGATTCACGATAGCAACTTTGCAAGCTCATGCCACTCACCACAAAGCATTACATGACAACATAAGCATACCAATAGCAAGATGACATGTTCATGAAGCTAACCATGACAAGAGGAAGTTCATAGGATGCATGGATCACTAGCAAAACACATGGCAATATTGATTGACATGTTAACAATCTGCCAGAAACATTTTATAGCAAAACTAAAGCAAGAAAAAGACATACTAGAGCACTCCATAATTGCAAACAGGGGCATGAATGGATAAAACATAACCACATGTTCCAAACATCCTTACTGAAGTATCTCAAAATAAGCATGGATCACTATGTAGCATCAAGTTTACATGGCATCAAAATAACAGCAGGAAAAAGACTTAGCAAAATCTTAAATCTCTGAAAACAGCAACATCACGGGGCCTAGTTTGCATGCGTGTGCTATTCACCACATAGATCACAAAAATGCAAGGCTTGCACCTCTGTACAGATGGCATGATGTAGTTCAAAACACATGTAGACCTCATGCTCAAATAATGCACACATCAAATGCAACAAAAATGACAAAACCTCATGATCTGATAAGTACCAGCAGCTAACATTTTATAGCACTCCTGCATCAAAGAAAATGGCATCATAAGGTACAGTAACATGCATGAAAATGCTTCTAACATGAAGAGCTCAACGAGACGAACAATTTGACATATCATATGCATGATTCGGATCACCGAGCACGGAGATATATCACTATGAACAGGGGCATAAAAATATCAGGGAAAAGACTTAGTGAAAATTATACCCTCCGAATTTCCAGATCTAGGGTTGCACGAGGTTCGAGGATCGCCAGAGGAGACTGGTGCGGCGGCCGAAGTTGGAGGCGGGTGGTCGCCGTCGGCCGGGGAAGGAGGGGTCGGTGGATCCGGGGTCGCCGGAGCTCGGGGCGGCGGAGGAGCTCGGGCCGGCGACAAGGAGATGGAGGCGGTGCAGC